GTTGTGTGCTGTCCTCTGTAAAACATAACCTTTTAGACATATGAAAGATGTGGATGAATGGCACATATCCACAGGAGGTGGAACACATGATGGAGCTCAGTAACTTCCAGAGGTTCAGCGTGAGCATCAAGTCATTGCAAGGTGGCAGAGTAGCTCAGGTTGCACTGATCCAAGCACATTTCTCTTGAGGGTAAGGCATTCTGGATGGTATTCACTTCGTACCCAATCTTTCCTAAAGGGAATGATCACCACCTAGCATCTGTCATGTAGACAAGTATTCTATTTCTTTCCAATGCCTGGAAGGCACTATTAGCCACACAAAAAGAGCTATCTTGTATTATTTTCTTTTTTTTATTCATTTGTGGGATGTGGGGTGGGATGTGGGTGTCGCTGGCTGGCCAACATTTCATGCCCATCCCTAGTTGCCCTTGACAATGTGATGGTGAGCTGCCTCCTTGAACCGCTGCAGTCCTCCTGCTGCGGGTTGACCCACAATGCTATTAGGGAGAAAATTCCAGGATTTTGACCCAGCGACATTGAAGGAACAGCGATATATTTTCAAGTCAGGATGGTGAGTGGCTTGAAGCGTAACTTGGAGGTGGTGGTGTTCCCATATGTCTGATGCCCTTGTCCTTCTAGATGGAAGTGGTTGTGGGTTTGGAAGGTGATGTCTGAGGATCTTTGGTGAATTTGTGCAGTGCATCTTGGAGATAGTACACACTGCTGCTATTGAGTATTGTTGGTGGAAGGAGTGGATGCATGTGGATGTAGTGCTTTGTCCTGGATGGTGTCAAGCTTCTTGAGTGTTTTTGGGCATCACTCATCCAGGCAAGTGGGAAGTATTCCATCACACTCCTGACTTGTGCCTTGTAGATGATGGACAGGCTTTGAGGAGTCAGGAGATGAGTTACTCGCCGCAGTATTCCCAGCTTCTGGCCTGCTCTTGTAGCCACTGTGTTATTGTGGTGAGTCCAGTTGAGTTGTGGTCAATGATAACACCCAAGACGTTGATAGTGGGAGATTCAGTGATGGTAACACCATTGAATGTCAAGGGATGGTGGTTAGATTGTCTCTTATTGGTGATGGTCATAGCCTGGCATTTGTGTGGCGCGAATGTCACTTACCACTTGTCAGCCCAAGCCTGGATATTGTCCAGATCTTGTTGCATGTGAACATGGGCTGCTTCAGTATCTGAGGAACCATGAATGGTGCTGAACATTGTGCAATCATCGGCAAACATCCCCACTTCTGACCTTGTGATGGAAGGAAGGTCATTGATGAAGCAGCTGAAGATGGTTGGGCCTAGGACATTACCCTGAGGAACTCCTGCAGAGATGTCCTGGAGCTGAGGTGATTGACCTCCCATTACCACGACCATCTTCCTATATGTCGGCTATGACTCCAACCACTGGAGAGTTTGCCCCCTATACCCATTGATTCCAGTTTTGCTAAGGCTCCTTGATGCCTCACGTGGTTGAATGCAGCCTTGATGTCAAGAGCTGTCACTCTCACCTTACCTCTAGAATTCAGCTCTTTTGTCCATGTTTGAACCAAGGCTGTAATGAGGTCAAGAGCTGAGTGGCCCTGGCGGAACCCAAACTGGGCGTCACTGAGCAGGTTATTTCTGAGCAGGTACTGCTTGATAGCACTGTTGATGACACCTTCCATCACTTTACTGATGATCGAGAGTAGACTGATGGGGTGGTAATTGTCTGGGTTGGATTTGTCTTGCTTTTTGTGTACAGGACATACTTAGCAATTTTCCACATTGCCGGGTAGATACCGGTGTTGTAACTGTACTGGAACAGCTTGGCTAGGGGCGCAGCAAGTTCTGGAGCACAAGTCCTCAGTACTATTGCTGTTATGTTGTCAGGACCCATAGCATTTACAGTATCCAGTGTCTCCAACCGTTTCTTGATATCACGTGGAGTGAATCGAATTGGCTGAAGACTGGTACCTGTAATGCTGGGGACCACTGGAGGAGGCCAAGATGGATCGTCCACTTGGCACTTCTGGCTGAAGTTGCTGCGAATGTTCCAGCCTTAACTTTTGCACTGATGCGCTGGGCTCTTCCATCATTAAGGATGGGGATATTTGTGGAGCCTCCTCCTCCAGTGAGTTGTTTAATTGTCCATTCACGACTGGATGTGGCAGGACTGCAGAGCTGAGATCTGATCCGTTGGTTGTGGGATCGCTTAGCTCTGTCTATCACTTGCTGCTTTCGCTGTTTGGCGTGCAAGTAGTCCTGTTTGGTTGCTTCACCAGGTTGAAACATTATCTTCGGGTATGCCTGGTGCTGCTCCTGGCATGCCCTCCTGCACTCTTCATTGAACCAGGGTTGATCCCCTGGTTTGATGATTGAGTGGTTGAGCGGGGGATATGCCAGGCCATGAGGTTACAGATTGTGCTGGAGTACAGTTATGCTGCTGTTGATGGCCCACAGCGCCTCATGGATGCCCAGTCTTGAGTTGCTAGACCTGTGCGAAGTCTGTCCCATTTAGCACAGTGATAGTGCTACACAACATGATGGAGGTTGATCTCAATGTGAAGGTGGGACTTCGTCTTCACAAGGACTATGCAGTGGTCACTCTTATTGATACTGTCATGGACAGATGCAACTGCAGCTGGGAGATTAGTAAGGATAAGGTCAAGTATGTTTTTCCCTCTTGTTGGTTCCCTCACCACCTGACTCAGTCTAGCAGCTATGTCCTTTAGGACTCAACCAGCTCGATCAATAATACTGCTGCCGAGCCACTCTTGGTGGTGGACATTGAAATCCCCCACCCAGAGTACATTTTGTGCCCTTGCCAACGTCAGTGCTCCCTCTAAATGTTGTTCAACATGGAGGAGTACTGATTCATCAGCTGAGGGAGGACGGTATGTGTAATCAGCAGGAGGTTTCCTTGCCCATGTTTAACCTGAAGCCATGAGACTTTATGGGGTCCAGAGTCAATGTTGAGGCCTCCTAGAGCAACACCCTCCCGACTGTATACCACTGTGCCACCACCTCTGCTGGGTCTATCCTGCCAGTGGGTCAGGACATATCCAGGGATGGTGATGGTGGTGTCTGAGACTTTGTCTGTTAGATATGATTCTGTGAGTGTAACTGTGTCAGGCTGTTGCTTGACTAGTCTGTGAGACAGCTCTCCCAATTTTGGCACTAACTGCCAGATGTTAGTGAGGAGGACTTTGCAGGTCGACTGGGCTGTTTCTTTTCTGGTGCCTAGGTCGATGCCAGGTGATCTGTCCGGTTTCATTTCTTTGAGACTTTGTAGCGATTGGTACAACTGAGTAGCTAGCTAGACCATTTCAGAGGGCAATTGAGAGTCCACCACATTGCTGTGGGTCTGGAGTCACATGTAGGCCTGACCAGGTGAGGGTGGCAGATTTCCTCCCCTGAAGGACATTAGTGAACCAGATGGGTTTTCCCAACAATCAGCAATGATGTCATAGTGATCAGTAGATTCTTAATTCCAGACTTTTTTTTAATTATTGAATTCAAATTCCACCATCTCCCGTGGTGGGATTCGAACCCGGGTCCCCAGAACATTAGCTAGGTTCTGGATTAGTAGTCTAGCAATAATACCACTAAGTCATTGCCTACCCTGACGCCTACCTCACCGTGTATGTGACTTGTGAGGCTTTGCAGCTGTACTCAGCTGACCTTATTTGGAGCTGTCCTCCATTCTCTAAAGAGGATGCTCATAATTAGCTCTGCCTCCTCCTGTTCAAAGTGAAGTGCTGGTTACCATGTGGCACCTATTCCAAATTCACTTCAGGCTCCATCATGGTATGTATTTCTGCGCTATTTGTAGTGTGCTTGACTATTTTGACTGTGATGCCTCACATGAATCCTCCTCCTCCTCCTCTGAAAGTGATATAACAGTCATTTCCATTTGTGCTTTTTTCACTCTTCCCCCATCATTTGCTTAAAATCCAGTGCATTTCTAGCGAGTTCCAATTCTGATGAAAGATAATCAAGGTAAAAAGTTAGCTCAATTTCCCTTTCCTCAGCCTCTGCCAGACATGCTATTTCCAGCATTTTATGTTTTTATTACAGATTTTCAGTGTCCACCATACTTGTTCTTGAACATTTTTATCTTGTTCATTGCAGTGTAACTTGGTTCTTTTACCTTAATCTTCTGATAAAACTATTTGTTTTGCATTCATAAATTGGACTACTAAGTAGATTCAGTTCCACAAAATTAAATCGATGTTCACTTGTGCATTTCCGATAATTTTCTCATTGTTGTTCAAAACTCCCTTCACAGCTGAGAGGAAGGCTTTGTACGTCATCAAGTTAATGAGGTCTGGAAATGATTCTGATTCATTTGAGTTGTTTTGAAATAATTTGTTTGTCTTGTTTGTGTTCAAAACGGTAAGTTATCTTGATGTACCAATACTGAATAATATATTTTATATTCGGTTGCACAGTCACAGTAAACATCAAACTATTTTTAAAGTACAATCTCATCAAGCAGGTTGAAGCAATTTCAGATCAATACCAGCTGACAATTTAGTTGCACTTTGTTGAATGCTGGCTTTGAAGGATTAATGAGGAGCACATAAACACATAATATTGCAACTTAATTTGCTTTATCTTATGCTGAGATAGTTTCAAAAAGATTGCAGCATCCTTCAGTGTATTGTTTAGTTAAATGCAAAATCTCTTCTGATACACAAGTGATTTGTTGACCATAAAGTCCCAAATAATCAAATACTTTTGAAACAGGACATTATTTTCTTCTGAAGCCTGAGGCATTTGCTGACCCCACCTTGCATTCAAACGTACTAAAACCTCAGGGTAATTTCTGATCATATTCCTTCTTTGTAGTTTTGAAGTGACTTGATATTATTATATAAACAGTTGGCTATTTTTATTGCTTTCGAAATGCCACTTGTGTAAATTAGAATTATTTTGAAAAAAGCAGTTCTTAATCTCTAACCATACATTAGAACCAGCTTTACACAATATTCAAAGTTGTATCTTTATTTGACAGGATTTGTTCCAGCAGCCAACTCTTTCCCTTGCAGACCTTCACTGTGACATCTTCAGGGAATGTGATGTTGGCTATATTCTTTTCACAATCCCAAAGTATGAATCAATTTGAAGCTACAGTACAATATATCAAGACAACAAGTGAGTCAACATTTTGACTTTCCAGCTGTTAAATTTTGTAAGCCACTTACAGTCTTATATGGATGTACAAGTTATGTCAGCAGACTGGTACATAGTTGATGTCACCAATTCAATAGAACAATCAACTGAATAACCATGAACTAGTTAGTTTAATGTTAGTTAAATGTAAACTCTTACAACCCATATTTTTGGATCAAGTGAGTAAGCACAGCACAAGAAAAGGACATGTATTAAAGATTTACTGCACGTTCACCATGTTCAATAATTTAAGGTGATTGCATTTTCGTTTAACAAAAAAGAATAAATTTAATGTACTTGGATTTCAAGGAAATGCTCAGAAGACTCAGTCACAGGAGACTCGTGAAAATTTAGGTACGAAGTATGAAAGTAAATATTAAAAAATAATAATGGACACACTCAGCTGGAGAGGAAAACATAGTTAATGTATCACATTGATGACCTATCATCAGAAGTTTGAATTCTGATGAAGGTGGCAGAGTTGAAACATGAACTAAGTTTCTCCCTCACGTGAAGAGTATTTCTAACGTCCTCTGTTTTTATTTCAGATTTCTACCATTTATAGCATAGTGGTGTAGGAAATGCTGCAGCCTGAAAACAATGGGTTTGATGTTGACTGTTTCATTAGCACTTGGGGAACTGGACGTTTCAGCAAGCCATTTTTAAGCTGCACTTGTACCTGACTTTCAGAATTCCTAACCACTTCGGACAAGTAGCTGCAATGACAGCCTTCAGTCAGTCATTTTCAATCTTTAAAGGAATCCTGCTTGAATGAGACTTGAAGCAATGTTTAAGTGTTTCAGCATCCCAGAAAATGTGACAGTGGACTCAGTGTTGTAAGGCAATAGCCTGCTTCACTGATGGTACCTGGAAATGGTGCTGTGAGCTGAACGAATCAGAGAGAGAATCTGTTTCCTGCTAGTGGGAGGAGGGAGCCTGCCACAGAGAATAAGAAGGCATGATTGGAAATCATTCAGCACCAGGGGTATAACGCTAGACCCTTTGATACGGTGCTGCAAGAAGTTCAATGACCTAATCAGGGCAAGAAAGGTCAGTGGCATTACACATCAAGATATATCCTGATGTGGCTCTAACCCTAAACACCTACTCCTGCGCATCACTTCTCGTTCAAACTTACCTTACAGTGTATTCATCCTATCTGACTTGGACTGCCTCACATTCCTGTATGACAATTCATCATAGACAGTTCCATATGATGCCTTTTCCTCATGGGGCGTCCCACAAATACTGCTGATTAAGACATTCCATTTGTTACACTCATCAGTCTCTTTCTTTCTTCGCCGGAGAAGAGGCCACGGGACATCAGGGAAAGGCAGAGAAACAGAGGCGGCCTTCTAACCATTTCTGTACAGGCAGTTGTGGAGGAAGACACAGTGGAGGCAAGCCGAGTGTGTCTGGCCAATAGAGATGGAGAAGTGAGAGCCTCTAAGTTACCTGGCAACAGTATTCAATATCCAACAGCCACACAGTATACAACACTGACCCTCTCAACTTGCTGTCAGCAGCTGTTGAAATATGATATCATGCACAATTATGACATGGCACCTTCTCACCTTGACTATTTTAATTTATATCTTTCATCACCTACATGGACTTCAAACCTCCAGTAGAATGTAATGCAGAGGAGGAGGAAGATTTCTCAGAGGAGGACATTTATTACAGGACTCATGCACTAGTCATTGGCTTATGTACACACACCTTGATGGGACCAGCAGGTGTGAGGATTGTCACATGTTGCCTTGCACATGATAAGTGAGCAGGAGCTGGAATTGCAGATAGGGACTGCAGTGGAGAGCTCAGCCAAAGTGAAGGAAGCGCAGTGCTCTCCCAAGTGAGATACATAACAGAGAAGTCAATTCTGAAGGAGCAGCAGAAAAGGCAGCATTCTGTCAGCCTCCAACCTGCACTGTGCACTGGAGAGAGATTGATGGAGTTTGTCACTAACTTGACTGCCACAGTTTTGCAGGCTTTCAGGGTGATATCTGTGACTGCGGAAAGAGTGGATACCTATGTGAAGCAACAGTTGACAAAGCAATTGCAATCCGTCACCAATGTGGCCTTAAATAGGATTGATAAAACCATATCTCCGTTCTCATGGTTCGTGGCAAAATACTCTCCTACTTATTGCTAGCAGGAGGTGGAGATGAGCCATGGGAGGGGAGATGGAGAAAAAAGGACATTGAATTGGGACGTTGACTTATTTCTCTTCACCTTGCCTCAATCAGAGTCCCGTTGCTACTTTCTGTCCTAATGGCTTAGTCTACCACTGCATAAATACATTTGGAACATTCATTGGCTTGACTGTCACATATTCTCAAACCCAGAAGACATCTGTCAAGAGCATCAGAGCAGGGATCAGAGCAGCTTGGCTCTAGTACTTGTGAAGCATCATGAAGGGATAGTGGACAAAGGAAGAATAAGGAATTGTAACTGCCCTCTAGGCAGAAAATCTATTTGGTGGAGGTCAGTCTCCAGGAGCCATCAAATGCCATTGCCTTCTGATGCAGTATCCTCAACTGCCTCCTGAGGGTGGTCTCCCACAAATAGATCTGCCTAGAGGGCATATTTTGCTACTGGCTGCCAACATCAATCAGCCCTTGTTATTTTTGCTGCTGGCACCCTGTGTTGCCCAAGACTGGTTCTTATGTGTGCTTTTCAGTGTTAGCTGTTACCGAATGTAATACGGAACAGGAGAACTACTTCTGATCAGAAGGCAAACTGCAGAGTTGAGATCTCCAAAGGGGTAGTCAGTGTTGGGGATGAAAAAATCTATTGAATCATCAATAATGTCACACCATAAACTTTAAAGAGAGAAAATTATGTGTGCTTTTCAACTGATGAGGTGGTCAGAATGAGCAGGCATTAGACGTTGCCATTCTGATGACCTCTCACAGGTTCAGGGAGCCATCAGTTGCATATGCAGTAGGTCACCCTGGAGTCTTCATCGATCAAAAGTTTCCTCTTTATCAAACAGAAAAACCACTGCTTGCATGTTTGTGCAAGCTTTCCAGGGAGTTGCAATGATATTTTTAACCTGTGCCAATCAAGCTTACTCAAGATCTTTACACCTAAAGTGGAAGCCATCCATTGAAGATCTGACCAGGAAGATACAATGGGAGCCACCTGATCAACTGTGTTTGAAACAGCCTGTCCTGCAATTAACCTCTTTACTTCAGGACATTCCTTCTGCAGGCAGTCTTAATTGCCCATTTGTCATGAGGCAGCAGGTTACCAAGCAATGTCTCCCAGGAAGCAGCTTGTTTATGTTGCTTTGACTCCTCTTCTGAGGGATGGTTAATATGCCAGTTGCTTTTAATTCCTTTGTAACAGCTTCTCCTTGCCCCTTTCGTCTCAAGAAACAATTTATTCCAGAAAGATACTGCTAATTCTTTCAATTTGTGAACTTATTAAAGTTGTGAAGTTTACACTGTCACAAACCTATGGTGGATGCATTGCTTCCTGCAATCTGGACCTCTCCTCACCTGTAACTACTGTAACATGACAAGTGGGTGATGAGAAACTTGCAACTCCTGCTGTTGGTGATCTAATTCTGCAACTAAGGTTCAAGTTAAAGTTCCATAAACAATTCCCACTCTGATCTAAAGGTTGATAGCTGGAAGGTCTGGATTACAAAAACTGTAACTCAGAGCAGTAGAAAATTACCTCCAAACTAAATGTAAGGAGCAAAAACACACTCTCAAAACAATTCCTATGATCAAAAGCTTTCCATAAAAACAGATCTGAAGTCTCAGTATTTGGAGGAATTTGAGCATTGATCAGATTAGAGAAAGATTGTCACTTGTGTGTCTCAAGCCAAGTCTAGATGCAGTGTTGCTTTTGACATTGTAGGACATGAGACTTTTTTTTATATGAAGGAAATACATCCTACCTAGTAGTTTACAGTGATAGTAGGAACTGCAGATGCTGGAGAATCTGAGATAACAAGATTTAGAGCTGGATGAACACAGCAGGCCAAGCAGCATCAAACGAGCAGGAAAGCTGACGTTTCGGGCCTAGACCCTTCTTCAGAAAAAGGTCTAAACTCGAAACGTCAGCTTTCCTGCTCCTCTGATGCTGCTTGGCCTGCTGTGCTCATCCAGCTCTACATCTTGTTATCATAGTAGTTTACAGTCATTGAGTAAGTCGCATCTTCATGGAGTTTCATGGATTTCTGGAGATTTTATGAGTGCTTTGGCACTTAAATTCTATGAATCTATTATTCTAAGAAAGCCATAAATGTGAGTTAGGAGCCTTAGATATGGGGTGTGAGAGTTGTAAGATGGAGGATTGTTCCTGGGTTTTGGTTGTATGTGGATTGTCACTACCTTTTACAAATAGGTCCAGGGAAAAAGGCAGTGACTTGGATTGGCATCTTGTAGGCGAACTACTATTTAAAAACAAGATGTCAGAAGAGCAAAAAAAGTCACTGGAGTGTTTTCTGAAAAAGATAATTCAGATTGTTTATTGAACTGTTTTTGTGACTGGGATTTTTCTAACATCCTGAAAGGATGTTGTTGATGACTGGGGAGTCCAGAACCAGGGGTCGTAGGCTAAGAATAGGGGTAGGCCATTTAGGACTGAAATGGGGGAGGAATTTATTCAGCCAGAGAGGTGAGCCTGTGGAATTCCCTGCCACAGAAATTGTTTGAGGCCAAAACATTGAATGTTTTCAAGAAGGAGTTGCATAGGGTCCTTGATTTATGAATGTACAACTTACAAATGTTCTTCTTATGAATGCAATCTCATGCAGGGTGTAATTTTAAAGACCCAACATATGACCACTTCTGAACTTATAAATAGCTGTTTTATATTGTCCTCCATTGTGTTTTGACTTGGAATTGACCCTAGAATAGAAACTGGTCGCAACCCTCCTGTAGATATATTTCTTACAGCCAAAGAGATCAAACTGTACGGGGAGAAAGCAGGAACGGGGTTCTGAGCAGGATGATCAACTGTAATCATATTGAATGGGCATTAGCTCAAAGGGTTGAATGGTCTACACCTGTTCCTACTTTTTTAATAAATGTCACTTTTACCTTTAGATTGAAATGGGGGAAGGACAATTTCCATTTTTTCTCCAGTGAATTTATAAACACACATGACATAACGGGTTTATGATTTCTCTGCCAAGGACATACAAAATATTGTGCCCACAGACATTTCCTCTGAACTTTAACTGTATAGTTAAAAGCAAAACTACTTTGTCTTTAGTCAGAGGCTTTTAATCATAGTATAACTTGGAAATTTTGATATACTTTGGTAAAAATACGCATAAATTATTTTGCATGTCAGTGTAATTGAAATGTGTTATTTGTTCCTATTCTTTTTTATTTTCAGCCTGTGGTGGAACTATAACTGCTTATAATGGATCACTGGCCTCTCCATTGTATCCCAGTAACTACCCTCCAAATATCAACTGCCTCTGGACAATTACAGTAAGTAAAATTTAAGATTATAAACTATTTATGTACAAATTATGCATAATTGGAACCCCACAATATAACTATAACCTTACTATATAACACCATAACTGGTGGTTTGTAGCATTTGTTTTTGCTTTTGCATTAATGAAGGGTGTCTCGACCGGCAGGCACCTGTTTTGTGTGGGTTTTACTAACATTGATCTTATCTTCCAATCTTCTGTTTTGTTAGAATTAGACTAAAATATGAAATTGTTCTATTCAGATATACATACAACCGTAATCTGTTAAATTTACAATGTAAAAGGGTTTGCTGGATTTCAATGAAACTGCCTCTTATCTAATCCTTCCTTTCAGAATTGACCAACTAAAACCTGTACATTTGTAGGTTCATGCATCAAGCAACATGAAATTGCAAATTCAAATTTCTTCTATGTCTATTTATTAGGTGTTGAATCTATTTTGTTTAAGTCACTGTCCTGCATTTGGAGATATTAAGAACTGCAGATGCTGGAGTCTGAGAATAAACAGTGTGGAGCTAGAGGAACACATCAGGCGAGGCAGCATCAGAGGAGCAGGAAAGTTGACATTTCAAGTCGGGACCCTTCTTCAGAAAATTTTATGGTGCCGACCCGAAATGTCAACTTTCCTGCTCCTCTGATGCTGCCTGGCCTGCTGTGTTCTTCCACTCCACACTGTGTTATCACTGTCCTGCAATTGTTGTGTGGGTGCAGAATACTATGCATGGTTTTTAAAACTTTAACTTGTGAAATGTTGCAATGATCCTGTAGCGTGCCAGTAAATATCAAATGGTAGGTTTTGAGGTTGGTTGGCTCACCGAGCTGGTTTCTTGTTTCGCAGACGTTTCGTTACCCTGCTGGATAACATCGTCAGTGCAGCCTCTGATGAAGCGCCGTTGTGTTTTCCTGCCTGGTTTTTAAACCCTAGAGTCCATTGAGCTGGATTACCTCACTTCCGGTTTTCCTTTGCAGTAGAGTGTATATGCGGTCGAGTTCTATGTGTTTGTTGATGGTTTTCTTCGTGGAGTACCAGGCCTCTAGGAACTCTCGTGCCTGTCTCTGCTTTGCTTGTCCCAGGATCTTGATGTTGTCCCAGTCGAATTGGTGGTTCTCCTTATCCATGTGGATAGAGATGAGTGAGTATTGGTCATAGCATCAGAGTGGCACACAAACCCACATCAACCCTATGACAACTGCTCACCCGAACCAAAGACCTACTATCCACTATGGACAGGACCAGTGTCATATATAAGATTCCCTGCAGAGACTGTGACAAATATTACATCGGACAAACAGGAAGGAAATTAACAACAAGGGTACACAAACACCAATTTGCTGCAAAAAGACATGACCAATACTCACTCATCTCTATCCACATGGATAAGGAGAACCACCAATTCGACTGGGACAACACCAAGATCCTGGGACAAGCAAAGCAGAGACAAGCAAGGGAATTTCTAGAAGCCTGGTACTTCACGAAGAAAGCCATCAACAAACACATAGAGCTCGACCCCATATACACTCCACTCCACTACAGTCAAATTCGTGTTCTTCTTTGTCCGCGTATATTGAGACCAGTGAGAATTGGTCGTGTCTCTCAGTGGCTTGCTGGTGTTCGTGTATCCTTATTGTCAGTTTTCTTCCAGTTTGGCCTATGTAATGTTTCTCACAGTCCTTGCATGGTATTTTGTATATTACATTAGTTTTATTGGTTATGGGTATGGGATCCTGTATGTTAATCAGTAGCTGTCGCAGGGTGGTTGTTGGTTTGTGAGCTACAAATCTTCTCAAAAAATCTTTATGGGAAACATTCTTTTAACAGAGATGTTGGGACCTCTTTAAAAACTACACAATAGCACAAAAATATTTGTCTGAACTGTTAAAATCAAACTTTCTTTTACCCAAGTGGGGGTAAAGTTATCTCTGGTCACTACCAGGTATGTTCTGAATAGATTAAGCTGGCTGTTTAAATTTATATGTTGAACTTCACCACTTGGACAGGGTGCCATTGGGACATTGCAAAGAATCAAATGCTTTCAGGGGAGTTGATAAGAGACTTGGTTCAGAGAAATTGGCAGAACAATCAAAAGGAGCCATCTCTAGTTCTCATTGATTTATATACATACATTCCATTTCTTGTGAGTGATGTTGAAAACCTTTCTCTAAGAAAAACTGATTGCATCAATCATTCAAGTATTCGTTCTTGCTGCAGATGAGTGAGATTCAGAGCCATTCCAAGCTAATGGGATAAATGTCTTTTGGTTGCTGTATGAAAGAGTTCAATCTAAAATTAGCTTTTGTACTCATTGCTACATTTTAAAAATTCATTTCTGGGTTCTGAACATCATTGGCTAGGCCAGTATTAATTGCCCATTCCTAATTACTCTTGAGGATTGTGGTGAGCTGACACCTTGAACCTTTGCAGTCCATATGATATGGCACACCCCCAGCACTGTTAGAGAGGTGCATCCAGGAATTTGACCCAGCAACAGTGAAAGAATGGTAATTTCATGTTAGAATGATGTACAGTCACATTCCTAATCACTTTCTTCCAGCTGATAAAGTTTCAGGTTTAGAAGGTGCTGATGAAGGAAGCTTGGTAAGTGGAAGTTGTACACACTGCTGCCACTCTGCATTCGTGTTGGAGGGAGTGAAAACTTAGTCTAATGATTTGCATTCTGACAAATGTCCCGATTGATATTGAAAACCTTTGAGTTGTAGACGTTGCACTCATCCAGGCAAGTGGGTAGTGTTCCACCATACTTCTGACTTGTGCCTTACAGATAGTCGACAGACTTTGAAAAAGTGACTCAGGAAATGAGTTACCTGCCACAGAATTTCCACCTTTCAGCCGTCTTTTGTAGCCATAGTATAAGTATGACTGGATCTGTTAAGATTCAGGTTAATGGTAACTACCAGGATGTTGATAGTGAGGGATTCAGCATGAACAGTGTCATTGAATATCAAGGAGTGGTTAAATTCTCTCTTGTTGAAGATGGTCATTACCTGGTACATGCATGGTGTGACTGTTACCTGCCACATATCCGCATTTGCTTGAATGTAATCTAGACCTCGCTGCATATAGACACAGACTATAAAAGTAATTATACCCAGTTCTGAGGAAGGGTCACTCAACCCGAAATGATAACTCGGATTTCTCTCCACAGATCTGCTGAGCTTTTCTGGCAATTTCTGTTTTTGTGCCCATGATGTACTGGCTGTCTTGCCACAGTCATGTGACTTCTACCTGTACCATAAGTGTGTTTGTGTATAGTCTGTGCAGCCATTAGACACACATCACTTGTAACATTTCAGAGAGATGACAGCTGGAAATGTGTGGAGACAGCTGCTGAAATAAGAAGCAAGGAAAAAGTGAAAACAAAACAAAGTCTGTGACTTTGTGTTACTGGGTGAGTCAAAATGGTTGGGCATTTTCCACTCCCTGTTGCTATGGAAATGTAAGGAGGTATGAGCCTGAATTGGAATTTTTCCACTCTGTGGCAAAAGTATGAAGTAACAACAGAATTAATTAAATAAGTTAAGTATATAAGATTTGCTATACTGCTATCAGTGCTGGAGCAAAAGTGTACATGCTACATCGCAGCCTAGATCTCACTGAGGGTCAGACAAGCCAGGCAGAAGAGGTTTTGTGGGCTTTCAAAATACACTTTGAGCCCCATATTAGCCTTATTTGTCAGCAATATTTCTTCAATATCTGAGTAAAAGGGGAAAGGGAAACAAAGCATCTAATTGAATGCTGAGTGCCTAGATAACTGATAGATGGTCTCATGAGAGAGAGAATTGTTTGAGGCATGAAAGACCCTGCCATGACAGCATGTCTGCTGAAGGAGGAGAGATGTCCTCTCAAGAAAGCTATTGACATATGCAGAAGCTCTGATGTTGTCCATCATCAGCTACAGCATATTAATGGGGGAACAGATGATGCTTTGCATTATGCTGACAGCATTGCAGGCTGAATGAGAGTAACAGATTAGAAAAAAAGAAGAAACACGTACCGAAAATCCAGCAAAGAAAACATGTCCAGTATGGGGAAAACAATGCCCTAACTCCAATAAGCTGAATCACATTGCACGAAAGTATTAGAAAGAAGCAAAACAAGCCCACAGAGATGGTGGCTGAGGAGATTTCAGCCAATCATTCTGATGAATCACTTCACAGCATTCAACAGGTTGATATCCTCTGATCCAAAGGTGATACGTAGTTTGTGACTGTCAAAGTGATGACTGTGGAAAGAGAATATAGGTGAATATGAATTGCTACAAAGATACCAATGCTTTGTGTAACATCATGAGCTTTGCATGCTGTATTATTTCACAAAGGACGATGATACATAACTGAAACCCTCAAAAGTGAGGTTCAGGCTTTATGATAAAAAGATCTCATGCCAAGAGAGCAGTTGAAGCCAAGAGCTGAATGCAGTGGAAAAAATGAAGATCTTTAGTTCCAGATGATAGATAGTAAACAAAATCCATTCATGTTAGCTGAAGCAAGACTGAAACTTGAATTAGTAACCCTCACTCCACTGCCACATTGTCTTTCCCAAACAGGTATTGTTTAAAATGCTCACAAGCAAAGCAAATAGCCAAACACTATTTATCATAGTGATAGTCAATTTGTGTTAATCACCTAAACGCAAAAGTTTGTTTGTTGCATAAGGGTAGCTCGAAGTTCTAACTTGCTGACAACACATTGCAAGATGTCTTCATCAATGATATCTTTGTACCTCAGCATTGGAACAGTTGTTTCTAGTTGATTCTAGTGAAAACAGCTTCGTGGTCAATGCCACAATGCCAATGCACATCCTTCACAGTGAGCTTGCAGAGAGCTTCACACTCTGATGACAAATCAGGAAATAATCAATAGATCCAACAAATCATTGTATTGCTTTCAGTGTTGGTTGTCACAACTCTGATACAGCTCTCGTCTTGTCAGGACCTCGGTGAATTCCTTTCACTGTCACTTCACGATCTACTTTACTTAAGACATGTTCAATTGTATCTTTTCCTTGTAATCTCAGGTTAATCTAGTGGGCTCTGCCTCGCAATTGTACTAGATTCTGATCATTGTCTGGAGTATTTCACCTACAGAGATGAAGTGATAGTTCAAGATGGCATCTTGTCCAAAGAGATGAGTCATTATACCTAAGGAGTTTAGAAAAGAAATGTTGTAGCATATCCATACAAGCTAACAAGGAATTAAAGCTAATCTGAGGAAAGCAAGAGTGTGCTGTACAGGCCAAACATGAGCAATTAGGTTAAGGACCACATAAACCAGAGTAGTGTTGGAAGGAATACTGAGCTAAGCAAGTTAAAGAATTGGTTGTGATATGCATGATTTCCCAGACAGATCATAGATGAATCTACCAGAAGTCTTCACACCCATAGGAACTGATTATCTTGTCACCATTGACTACTGTTGTGACTACTGGGAGTTAGAGCAGCTGGTGTCAGTGACTGCCTGTGAGATTGTAGAATGCCTGGAAGTGGCAAAGGTCTTCAGGTCAGGGGAAAAGAGTTCAGGCATTTAATTCAGTGCTAACTAACAAATTTGAGTATTGGTGCAACGGATACTCTTCTGTGGTCAGGGCTTGAAGTCTGTTGCTTGGGTACAGTAAAGCAATTGTTTCGCTCGAGTCTTGAGAATGCTTGATACTCCCACCTGTGGTAGGGAACATTTCCTACATTACAAGGAACAGGAAATGACATCATTAAGTTTTTGGCTTGTGACTCGTTTTGACATACAATTCTTTCCTTAAACTCTTTTAATGAAACAGCATTTTTTAAAAAGGGAACCCACATCTGGCGTAAGCACCTTGACTGGTAACTAACTATGCAGCATGACTATAGTTTCAGAGGAGATAGTTTCATTAAAAGTCTCAAAGATACAGAACTAGTCCAAGAAGCCCTGTAAATACTGTACATGCAATTTCATAAGCTCTCCAGGTTGTGGACTTGTCATAGTCACACAGGATGAAGAAATAATAGTTTATTTCAAAATTAAGTGTGACTGTAGTTACCTGCAAGTTTCCTTGATATAGTTTTCATGTTGTTTTGAACAGAACCTGTATATTGAAAAACTGACCTAAAAACCTGCAAAGCATTGTTTCTAAATCTACTTTTCTGTTTCATGTGGTTGTTTGCAAATCCTGCCAAAGACCCTTATCACTCTGTTGATACGTAAGGATTAGAAATTCAATACATCAAGGGTTTTTTTATAATCTCTTGTAGTTTTCCCAAATGGAATTAATTTTCTTTGAATAGCTGTAATTTGACCAATGCACTGTAACCTGGAATGCAGTATTGGTCTCAGATTCTTAATACCTTAAGAGATCATTTTGGAGATCGTGAACCAACGTTAGTTTTAACTCCACAACAGTTTTTACGTAGGTATTTTATTCAATATTTAAGAAGGTTATCACTCTAGGTATGTACTTTGTGTCCAGTCTGACAAATTAATTGCTGCAAATGTAATTACGCAAATAGCCTGAAATCCATCCAGCACTGTTCTGCTGTAAGTCCAATGAGAAAGTGGTGCAACAGCCAAACTTAGATCAGGGCATGAATGCACTGGGTCCTATGCTGCTTTAATTCCATGCATTCCAAGCAGAGGCCTGAATTGTGAATCCAACAGCAGACCTATTGAACAGAATGCCTGGCAACTAGCAGTAATGGAGCTCACTTCAGAGTCTAAGTCTGGTACTCATTGGATTGATGAGCTGCCATTTGAAGGTTTCTGGGCTGAGAGTCTGGAGGATTTAAGAATTTCCCTTATTCGTGAGCACCTGAGATACACCCCCAGTCATGTGGGTACACATCTAGATTAGAAGAAACACACTCCCACGTTTCGGAGGAGTGCAGTCATTTGGAAGTGGACGTTCCCACCAGGTTAATCCAGGCACTTAAACTGGGAAAATGCCTGCATATTATCTGATGCAGGGAAACCATTCTAACTCAACCTCTCTGGCATTCATTCTTCTATTTTATTAAAGTTAGTGCAAAAAAATTTAGATTAGCAGTTATGTTAGGAGATCAGACTTTACACTTTATCTGTCTCTGGGGCCAGACCTCTTGTAATAGCAACAATATGTTCCCAAGTTAAATTGGTCTTTAGACTATAGCAATATATCTCAACTTGACCTTTTTACATTGATCATGACCCCACAGGCTGCTCACACAATTGAAGACATCAACATAACATCACTTGCCTCACTGGCAGCAGCACTGTAATAATCTAGGAAGTGGATTTTAGAGTGGTTTTCAGGGTTGGTGTAAAGTGGTATAAAGTTTCCAATAGCAACTTCTGTGTAATTGGGTGAGCACTCCTTTGTTTTCTCATGAGATGAGGTTTCCCTTTACACTAAAACAAATTACTTGGAATTGAAGGCCACGAGAGATGCTGAACAGTCTTGAGTCAGGATATCATCACATGTCGAAGATGCCTAAAAGAAAGTGGTCTGAATTTAGCAGGTGATCAATACTTGTACAGTTCAAGCACAGACTGTTCCTCTGTTAAATTGGTATGCTTTGTGCTTTTTACACTGACAACAGAATTTTCTAGAATTGCATTATATAATGAATCACCTTAGTAATAGACTGGCCAGTCCAGTTCTAGAATCTACTTCTTTCATGTGCCTTACCAGCAGAAATAAAAGATGGATTAAAAACATTGAGTCAATAATTGTATCTGTGTACAACAACTAAGAGAGTACAAATTATAGAAGGGCATTTGACAAAGCATGCCAACACACAGGACATCTATCTTTTTTTGTGATACTTCATTTATTTCATTTCATAAAGGAAAGTGCTGTATTCACATTTTCAATGTTAATGAAAGAAAATACAAGACTAACTATCCAGTCTGACAGTTTTTGGATCTGCAGCACAATGACTCAATTTGTTTTCCACTGGATGGTTTGCCATTTTTGCCTTACTGACAACCTTCAACAGAATTTTACTTACCCTTTCTTTTAGCATCCTTTTTAGATCCATCCCAAACAGGTAACCTAGTATACTTCAAATAGATCACGGTAGAATAATATGTCTGAATATTTTGTGCAGTTTCAGCAAACTAAGCATAAAATGACTTTGAAATATTGTAGCGATTTTGAGATAAGCACTCGGCAACATATGATGAAGAGATTGATGGAAAGCTTTTTATTTCTATGGCAACAAGATTTAAATAATATTCATATGTAGGAATAGTAACAGCGAAGGAATAGGAGCTTATGCATTAATAGTACTGGACTAATCATCCAAGGGCTTGGACTAATGCTTTGGAGATGCAAGTTCAAATCCTTTCATGGCTGTTGGTAAAATATAATTCCAATCAATAAATAAATATAGAAAAGAGCTTGTATCACTCATGGTGATTGTTGTGTAAGGGTAGTAGGAGCCTAGAGCAACCTTGTAATAATGTCACAGAGCTGAGCATCACTGATAACAAATACAGCAGAGTGAGCAGAATTAGAACAGACTAGGAGAATCACTAGTAGAAAACACACTAGTGAGATTCTCTGTTTCCCAACGTCATCTGTTATAGAGACTCAATCTCAGAGAAATATCAATCCTATCTCAGATTTCTTTTAAAATCTTTACTGAACTGAATTTTGACAGCTTTCTAATTTTACATGGTGGAGAAAATTTTAATGATTCCTTTCTCAGTCTGCTGGCATGAAACTCTCATAATTCTGATGGCCTTATCTTTCTCAGTTCTAACAACTTGAAGATTTCCATCCAAACTCTGCTGTCTTGAAAGCTGCAAAGACAAGAAGCCATTTCTGCCAGGGTGATTCGTTCCCCTGAGTTGACTTGATTTTCCTATTAAAAGAATCTATTCTATCTTCTGAACAGATCTCTAGGCTCTTCTGAATTAAAACATTTAACCTTCTGTTCTGAAGTCAAAACTAACAAATTGCCTTAATGTGTTTATTCTGCCTATCATAAATCCAACAGTATAAACAGTTTTATTCATTAACACTATAGGGGCTCTCCCAGTCACTCAACTGCAGTCACATGCTTTCTTGCAACTGGTAGATTTCAGTCACGGTTCCAACTGATCTGACTCCTTAAATGAGAACCTCTTCGAACTGAGGCACATCCATTTAAGTGCAGAAAGTATTTACAGGAATGGCTATAGGTATGGTGAAGTTCAGCTGTGAAGACAGATTGGTGAAGTTGGACAGTTTCCCTTGGAGAGAAGAAAGTTAAGAAGAGATTTGATTGAAGTTTTCTGAAATCATGAGAGATATGGACAGAATAGACCATGGGAATCTGCTCCCGTGGTAAATGAAGAACAGCTGACTCAGATTTAAAGTGATTTGCAAATGGAGTAAATGTGAAATGAGAAGAAACTTTGTCACACAGCGAATGTTTCAGGTCTTTAATGTACTGCCTGGAAGTGTGGTACAGGCAGGTTCAATTTAGGCACCGAAGAGGACATTAATCAATTAAATAGAAATTAATGTGCAGGGTTGTCCAAAAAAAGCATGAGAATGGCAATAACACAATGCTCATTTGGAGAGCTGATGCAGTCATGATGGGCCAAATAGCTGCCTTCTGCACCATAGCAATTTGTGATTCTGTGCTACGTGGCACCACTACTATGTTAAAAGGGATAGATTCAGAACAGATACTGCAACTCAAAACTCAACTCCCAAGAGAAGCTACGTGCCAGCTGCAGCAGCAATGTATCCAGCCACAATCTGTAATCTCATGGCTTTGGACTTTGCAACTTGGATATTAGAAAAGAAATAATACCATCAATAATAATATCACTGACACAATGTCAGATAGTAAATATAGACCAATGGGATCTTAAGGCTTGCATCACTTGAGCACATTAACTTTAATTTAGTGTTGAAGTAGAGACTGTGCACATTATAGGTATTTACTAAGATTTTTGTTTTGTGCTTAGGTACCGAACCCAAAGCTGAGACTCCGGATCCAGTTTCCAACCCTGAGATTGGAAGGCTTACAGCCAAACTGTGAAAAAGACTGGATTTCGATTGATGGTAAACGGTATGAGAGCATAACAGTCAAAATGCATTGTTCCATGTTCAGCAATATGTTTATTAAATCATTTGCTGAATGTTCCTGTTCCAAGTGTGACTTAAGGCTGGATAATACATTCTCCTGCCAGTTGTGCTTTTGGTGTAAGAGCGTGTAAAATAGATAACATTACAAGCCTGCCACGTACCCACCCACTCTCAGTGACCATCTCTGCAACACAAGATCAGAAGTGGGGTTGTTTGCTGATGATTTATTTTTTAAGCAGGCAATGTGGTCTTCCTGGCTGGACCAGAACATATTGCCCATTTCTAATTGCCCTTGAAGAGGTGATGTGAGCTGCCCTAAAGTCATAGAGTCATACAGCAAAAAAGAGTCCCTTAAGCCCACTGAGTCTGAGCTGACTTATCTACACTAATCCCATTCTGCCCATAACCTTGATAATTATTACATTTCACACACTCATCCAAGTTTGGAAAGATTGTGAGATTTTCTGCCTCTACCACCATCCTAGGCAGTGCTTTCCAGATTCCCACCATCCCCTGGGTGAAGAAGTTTCTTTCCTGAAACCGTCTCAAAACCTCCTATCCTTCATCTTAAAATTGTGCCCTCTCATTATTGACCCTTTAACTAAGAGGAACAGCTGCTTCCTTTTCACCCTCTCCAAGCCCCTCATAATCTTGGACACCTCAATCAAGACCCCCCTTCCGTTTTCTGTGTTCTCAAAATAACATAAGAACATAAGAACTAGGAGCAGGAGTAGGCCACCTGGCCCCTTGAGCCTGCCCTGCCATTTAATAAGATCATGGCTGATCTTTTTGAGACTCAGCTCCACTTACCTCCCCGCACACCATAACCCTTAACTCCTTTACTGTTCAAAAATTTATCTAGCCTTGCCTTAAAAACATTCAGTGAGGTAGCTTCAACTGCTTCACTGGGCAGGGAATTCCACAGATTCACAACTCTTTGGGTGAAGAAGTTCCTCCTGACCTCAGTCCTACATCTGCTTCCCTTTATTTTGAGGTGATGCCCTCTAGTCCTAGTTTCACCTGCTAGTGGAAACAACCTCCCTGCCTCCACCTTATCTATTCCCTTCATAATCTTCTATGTTTCTATAAGATCTTTCCTCATTCTTCTGAATTCCATTGATTATAATCCCAGCCTAAGCAGTCTCTCCTCATAATCCATCCCTCTCAACTCTGGAATCAACCGAGTGAATCTCCTCCGCACCCCTTCCAGTGCTAGTATATCCCTTTTCAAGTAAGGAGACCAAAACTGCACACAGTACTCCAGGTGTGGCCTCACCAGGACCCTATACAGCTGCAACATAGCCTCCCTGTTTTTAAACTCCATCCCTCGAGCAATGGCAGACAAAATTCCATTTGCCTTTTTAATTACCTGCTGCACCTGCAATCCTACTTTTAGCGATTCATGCACAAGGACACCCAAGTCCCTCTGCACAGCAGTGTGCTGCAATTTTTTACCATTTAAAACATAGTCCATTTTGCTGTTATTCCTACCAAAATGGATGACCTCACACTTATCAACATTTGTACTCCATCTGCCAGACCTTTGCCCACTCTATCTATATCCCTCTGCAGACTTTCAGTGTCTTCTGCACACTTTGCTCTACCACTCATCTTAGTGTCATCTGCAAATTTTGAAACACCACACTTAGTCCCCAACTCCAAATCATCTATGTAAATTGTAAACAATTGCGGTCCCAACACTGATCCCTGAGGCACACCACTAGCCACTGACCGCCAACCAGAAAAACACCCATTTACCCCTACTCTTTGTTTTCTACTCGTCAACCAATCCTCTATCCATGCCAATACATTACCTGTAATACCGTGCAACTGTATCTTATGTAGCAGCCTCTGGTGTGGCACCTTGGCAAATGCCTTCTGGAAATCCAGATACACCACATCCACAGGTTCCCCATTGTCCACCATGCAAGTAATGACCTCAAAGAATTCCACCAAATTAGTTAAACATGACCTACCCTTCATGAACCCATGCTGGGTGTTCCCAATGGGACAATTTATATCCAGATGTCTTGCTATTTCTTCCTTAATGATAGATTCAAGCATTTTCCCCACTACCGAAGTTAAGCTAACTGGCCTAAAGTTACCTGCTTTTTGTCTACTTCCTTTTTTAAACAGTGGCATCACAGTGGCCATTTTCCAATCTGCGGGAACCACCAGTGAATTTTGGTAAATAATTGCTAGTGCATTTGCTATTTCCCCCATCACCTCTTTTAGTACCCTGGGATGCATTTCAATCAGGGCCAGGAGACTTGTCTACCTTTAGCCCCATGAGCTTGCCCAGCACTGCCTCCTTACTGATGATGATAGTTTTTAGGTCCTCACCTGCTATAACCTTCTTGCCATCAGTTTTTGGCATGTTATTTGTGTCTTCCACTGTGAAGACCGACACAAAATAACTGTTTAATGCCTTGGCTATTTCCTCATTCCCAGTTATTAAATTGGCCTTCTCATCCTCTAAAGGACCAATGTTTACCTTCGCCACTCTTTTACGATTTACATATTTATAGAAACTTTTGCTGCCTGTTTTTATATTCTGAGCTAGTTTACTCTCATAATCTATCTTACTTTTCTTTATAACTTTTATTGTGGCTTTCTGTTGGCCTTTAAAGATTTCCCAGTCGACTAGTTTCCCACTACTCTTTGCTTTCTTGTATGTGTTTTTCTTTTCAATCTGATACTTCCCTTTATTTCCTTAGACAGCCATGGCTGACTATCTATTTTCCTACAGTTCTTCCTTATCACTGGAATATACTTCTGCTGAGCACTGTGAAAAATCGTTTTGAAAGTCCTCCAATGTTCCTCAATTGATCCACCATAAAGTTTTTGCTCCCATTCTACCTTAGCTAACTCCTCCCCCATCCCTTCATAGTTTCCTTTGTTTAAGCACAGGATATTGGTACTGGATTTAACCTTTTCACGCTCCATCTGTATTTTAAATTTGACCATACTGTGATTGCTCCTTCCGAGAGGATCCCTAACTGTGAGATCATTAATTATTCCTGTCTCATTACATGGGACTAGATCTAGGATAGCTTGCTCCCTTGTAGGTTCCATTACATATTGTTCAAGGAAATTATCGCGGATGCATTCTATGAACCCCTCCTCAAGGCTGCCATGACCGACCTGGTTTGACCAATCGATATGTAGATTAAAATCCCCCATGATAATTGCTGTACCAATTTTACATGCATTAGCTATTTCTATGTTTATTGCCCACCCTACCACGATGTCATTATTTGGTGGCCTATAGACCACACCTATCAGTGACTTCTTCTCCCTGCTCTTTCTAATTTCCACCCAAATGGATTCAACCTTTTGTTCAGTAGAACCTATATCATCTCTCACTACCGCCCTGATATCATCCTTAAAAATCAGAGCGACACCACCTCCCTTACCTTCGTGTCTGTCCTTCTGAACAGTTTGATACCCCTGGATATTTAACTCCCAGTCATGACCATCCTGTAACCATGTCTCTGTAATGGCCACTAAATCATACCCATTTGTCATGATTTGCACCATCAACTCATCCACCTTGTTTCGAATGCCCTGAGCATTCAGATAAAGTGCCCTTATGCCAGTTTTTGCACCTTCTTTTTGAGTCCTATCACCTCCATTACTAACAGCTCTTGAGTTCTCCTTCCCTTTAACATTTTTCCTAATTTTCAATGGAGTTGAAGCTTCCTCGTCACCTGCTAACCTGCTGCTTTGCCTTCCATTAATTGTTATACTCCCTGTACGCTCACGCCTCCCTTCCCCCCTACTTACTAGTTTAAAGCCCTATTGACCACCCTATTTACCCTTTTCGCCAGAACACTGGTCCTGGCCCTGTTCAGGTGGAGTCCATCCCAGAGGTATAGGTCCCTCCTGTCCCAGAACTGATGCCAGTGCACCATGAAAAGGAAACCCTCTTTCCCACACCACTCTTTTAGCCACGTGTTTACTTCCCTGATCCTCGCCTCCCTATGCCAATTTGCATGTGGCTCGGGCAGCAATCCAGAGATTATGACCCTTGAAGACCTGTTTTTTAATTTTGTTCCTAGCTTTTCATAATCCCGAAACAGGTCTTTTTTTCTAGTCCTGCCTATGTTGTTGGTACCTACGTGGACCACAACAACTGGATCCTCCTCCTCCCTCTCTGATATCCTCTCAAGCTGGTCAGAGATATCTCGCACCCTGGCACCAGGCAGGCAACACACCATGCGGGACACTCTATCCTGCTTGCAAGGGATACTGTCTATCCCCCTGATGATAGAATCCCCTACAACTACAATTTGTCTTTTTGCTCCCCCCTCTTGAATGGCTTCCTGAACCATGGTGCCATGGTCAGTTGACTCATCCTTTCTGCAGCCCTTTTCCTCATCCACGCAGGGAGCAAGTGCCTCATACCTGTGGGACAATGTCAAGGGCTGCGGCTCCTGTGTTCCTGTCTGCAGGGTCCCTCTACCTGCCTCACTCGCAGTCACACAGTGCTTTCCCTGGCCGCTGATCGAATTAACATTAGTTAATCTACCAGGTGTGACTGCCTCCTGGAACACAGCATCCAGGTATCTCTCCCCCTCCCGGATGTGCTGCAGTGTTTGGATTCCAGCTCATCAATTTTGAGCTGGAGCTCCTCAAGCAGCCAACACTTGCTGCCGATGTGGTCACTGCCATTCTCAATGGGATCAGCTAGTTCCCACATCGTACAGCTACAACACATCACCTGACCTGCCATCTCTACTTAGTTAATTATTTAAAATTAATTAGTTTTTTTTTAGTTTCGCAGTATTCTCTCTTTAAGTGTTCTCTGCACCAGTAAGTTTACTCTGTTATATACTCAAACAGACTCCGGTTTTGCCTTCTGAACCGCTCCCAGACGATTTGGCATCTAGGTGACCTCCCCAAAAGATAACAAAGAGATGAGAAAAAAATCGCAAATAGCTTACCTGCTTACCACACTTAGCCTTTATTATAGGTTAGAGG